TCTGAATGAATTGGGTATGCAAATGTACTTGCTCAACAAGTGGTACATGCAGGCGTGTGGCAGGGGTGAGCATTGGATCTTTGTCAGATTTAGAGACCATCATTACTTCCGTGGCGATGACATCTTACATATTAGTTTTGAAGAATTGCATCAACTATACCACATGGACGCTCTGGACAAATCAATCATTAGCTCCTTTTGTTTGTAAGTGATTCTTACTTTTATTTAATAAACTCACTTCCATGCGTACGTGTATATAATTATCCTCACATGTAACTTATATTTATATACATATTCCAGATGTCAGAGCTCCAAAGAATACAAGACACCAGTGTTGGCTTCATTGATCCTTATATCGTATTCAAAAGCGGTATTATTGTCAAGGAGCGATGGGTATCTGAAGCACAGGAGAATATCATGATGTTCTTCGTGAAGCAGCACGACAAGACAACAATATTTTTCCCGTACAACTTTGAGTAAGTGTTAATAATAATGTAGTCTACACATTTTATGTAATATCAATACAACTTATATGCATGTACGTGTGTGTATAAACCAATGCAGTTTTCACTGGATACTCATTGTTATTGAGTTAAACTCAAGTCGGTTACTAATCTTTGACTCGTTAAGAAAAGAACGGGCACTATACCAAGATATGATAGACATTATCCAGAGGTAATTTCGATATCTCGCGCACAACTATTATTGAATAGACTTTGCCATAATTTATTAACGATCGTACATTATTGGTCGCATAGGGTTTGGAAAGAGTTTATTCGGCAACATCGCAAGGATTGCAAGGCACCACTTAATGTAGTTGAAATACCAGTAAGTTGTACTATATACACTTCCCCACGTGTTTAATTACTATATCGTACTTCAATTTACGTGTGAGATGATGAGAATAATCTTCTTCTCAGACAAAGTGGTGTTCTTGGCGGCAGAACTGTGTAATAACTTGTGTGGATACTACGTTTGTGAATTTATCATCACAAGCACATAAGAAGAACTCCTCAAGATGTCCTCGAGTACGTATATATCAATTTTATTTATTTTTAAATGAATATATATACATATATGTGTATTAATACTTTTCCTTTTATTTCAAATGTAAGACCTGAATGGTTGAAACGAAGGGTCATGCAAAAAGACCATCCGAAAGCGGTTCAAGAGTCAATAGCAGGATATCTTCTAGAAAAAGTGCTAAATCCCAACGGCGAGTTCTACCTTGATCCTAAGGAATAAATGATGTAAATTAAATATTTATTGATATCGTTATTTTCGAGAACAAGATTATGAAAGTGTTGTATATATACATACATACATATATATATATATAATATATAGTTTCATACTTTATTCGAATATAATAATGTTCAAAATGAGAATTAGATGTAATTATACGCATGCGTGTATTTATATTAGCGGCGTAGAATACGTACATAAAAACATATTATATATTAAACAAATACGTGTAATCGAATCGAAAACAAATTAAACAAAAAAAAAAAAAAAGAAAAGGAACCTTTAGTCCGGTTTAGTTACCAACCGGGACTAAAGGGTGCGCCAAAGTTTGTTTTTCATTTGGAGGGCCTTTAGTCCCGGTTGGTGTTACCAACCGGGACTAAAGGTCCCTCTTTAGTCCCGGCTCGATGACCCGGGACTGAAGGTTCCACCTTTAGTCCCGGGATCGTTGTCCCGGCGCGGTAACCGGGACTAAAGGCTGTTACCGCCCGGGACAACAAGTCCATTCTGTAGTAGTGTATACGGGTTCGACAGGGTGCACAGGTAAAATGTATGCTTAATTGCTTACAATCAACCACAAGGCTATTGATTCTTGACAAAGGACATTTCTTTTTCTTCAAATTCTTGAATTTGTTCTTCTGTCCAGTTCAATATTCAGAGGTTAGCATTTGATGTCCCTCACAAGGTTGAGACTCTGGAGGAAGCCAAGAAAGCACTCCACAAGATAATCAAAGACAAGCAGCAAATAAAGTGAGGAAGGTTGCAGAAGCTGGCTCTACCCATTTTTCTAATGGTGTAAGGTTTCATATTGCGGCCGGACCGAGGATTACGTAACGTAGCAGGTAGCATGAGCAAGTGAAAAAGACGGCTGTCTTTTAATAATATATGTGTCCACCTGTGGTGAAGATTGTATATATGCTCGTGTTGCCATATTATCAATAATGATTATTGTGCGGTTGCTGCTCGAGGAAAAACCTTGTCTATTTCTGGCTTAAGGGTACCTGGTAACCTTGGTATCATCACAGATTTCTCAACGTGAAGAAAATTGCATGCCTTGATTTTGATGATAATTTGATTGTATCATTATGTGAGCGGTACTGATGTCTGGTGAAATTGGCACTAGTTGTCAATTTGTGTGTTGGAAATGGCAAGCTTTCAATACTGCTGCACGTACACTTTCCGAAATGGACCCAGCTTGCAATAATGCAAGGCTGCAACCTCTGGATATTTGAGCAGGACAAAAACATCAATGCACACAGTACCCGTGAGCAACGAATGGCAGTATTGCTATTTGCGCAACAAATTTGTTTTCCAGCTAACCCTCCATCTTTTTTTTAATCATAACGCTCTATCTTCTTGACAATGACAATGTTGCCTTATTTGGTGTTTGCTACACTTAGATCCTGTGTCGGTTAGATATAAAATAACTTGCTAGCTGCTAAAAAAGTTTCTAATTGATCTAAATAGCCTAGCTTATTTTATATTTTTAACTAATCAATCACCTAGCTTATAAAAAGCTGTTAGCTGGCTCTTTCTATCTATTGAAACTTATAAACAAATTTAGTTGATCCAAAAGCTGTTAACTGATTCTCTCTGGCTATTGCAACTTACGTATAAACAAATTTAGCTGATCCGAAAAGCGCCTTACTATTTTTTTTTTAAAAAAACAGAGCCTTACCCACCTGCGACTACGCTCGGAGCTGAGCTGCATCTGCATGTACTTGCCTTTGTGCGAGTGCTACCTGCTACTGCCGCCGTACCTGCCCACTGCCGTACTGCATGTCCGGAGCGTGCAGCGTTTGCCTGTCTCTATCAGTTGATTGGTGGTTGAGTGTGCTTTTGTGTGATGGACTCTGAAAAAAAGGTGCTTGCTATTGACAAACGCCTGAGTCGGCTAATATTCACGTTTTGCTTGTGTGGAGATTGGAACGCATCCTTCGAAAAGGAAAGAGGAAGGAAGAAACGGGAACGCATGCAGACAACACATGGAAAAGAACGTGAATGCTGAAGCTTCGCGGCAACAATTTAATTTTGAAAGAGTTTAATGAAAATCCACACGGTCCAAACCAAAAGACTCAGAGTTGAAATTGAAAACTATAGATTTAGAATTCTCTACATTGTTAATGCTAGGAATAGGGCGTTCGTCGCCCAGACTCTACTGGCTTCTTGGGCCATACCAGTCCAACAGGCAAGGCTTGCTCCCTTCTACGTGTGGCCTCCATTGGGTCATCCGCCGACCGCGACCGCCTCCACAACCCTTGTCACCCGGATTCACCCTGGCTGTCGCTGTTGCCTCCATCCGCCTGTCGCGGATGCCTCCACTACGCCTTCCGCTCGGAATCGACCGTCTCCATTGAGCTCTACACCGGCGACCTTGCGCGCCACTCCATGGCATCGAGCTCCGTCCCGCGCGGTGAGATCCACGTCGATGAGACTCCATTCGCCCAAGCAGCAAGTAAATGTTTCGCTGAAAGTACATGTTGCAACCGTATGTTTCATGTGTTTCAGATCTATGTTGCAAGTGTTTCTTCTGGATGTTGCAAAATTAGATCTGGTGTTGCATATGTTGCAATGGCTATTCACGTATGTTGCAAGTGTATGTTTCAAATGTTTCAACAATTTAAGATGTATGTTGCAAGTGTTTATTCAAAATGTTTCATCTTGGACGAGACGGCTAGAGTCACGCAGCCCACATCTGCAGGGGGGCACGTGGATTCCCATGTGTGAGCACGATACGGAGCAGGTACGAGAAGCGGAGCAGGGGCGAGGGCGGTCCCCACATGCATGCACGTGAGAAATAGAGCGGCGCGTGCCAGGCAGATAGAAACTGGTGTGGTGTTTCCCACGTACCGGGGATGGAGGCGCGGCGTTTCTCCCTACACGTGGATGCGCGTGAACAGAGCAGGCGGCCAGGCACGGCTGCACGGGCTTCCGGACATGGGCCTCCATTCGAACATTAGTCACCCTGTTCGCTGATGCTGAAATTTGGCTTATACTGATGCTTATGCTAAAATATTATTTGAGAAAAATAATATTCTATAACTGAAAAGTAGTTCGAAATAAGCTCAAGCGAACAATATCTCCTTCTCTACGTTGCACAAATTTTTAACGTAGTACATGGCTTTGTCTTCAAGATACTTTAGCACCGTGGAATACAGATTGAGATAATCGTTCTGTTCGCTTGAACTTATTCAAAACTACTTTTCAACTATAAAATAATATTTTTTTATCACAACATTTTAGTATAAGCATAATATAAACCAAATTTCAAGATCAACGAACGGGCGTATAAATAAAGCCTCCGGATTTTCAAACTTTATGCGGAAAGATCTTGAAGCTGTCCTTTATATGCTTCTTCTTCTTTTTTTTACCCTTTTAACCAAAACCAGTGAGGGCCTCCAGGCCCTAACCAAGCAATTCCCATGCCTCTGCTATCTGGGCCACACTGAAGCCGGCCCCACCGACCAGTGTCATAGGGCAAGTAAATTCCGACCCCAGACGACGTTCTTCTCCTCCACGTCACGAGACCCTCCGCTACACGTCCCCCACTTCCCCATCCACATCTCTCTCTCTCCCGGACGCACCTCTCCCGGTTCTTCGTTTCCGTCCGATTGAATCGAATTGATTTCTTCTCCTCCTTCCCAAATCCCAACCCGACGTCCCGACCCGTCCCGTCCCGTTCCGAGACGAGAGACCTCCAGATCGAGGTGGGCGCGGGCAGGGTACCCTAACAAGGATCTCGCCGGGCCGCGGCCATGGCTGAGGTCGCCGACGCGTCCCCACCCCCTGCGACCACCGGCGGCGGAGACCGCAAGCGGGGCCGCACCTCGCCCGTGCTTCCGCCGCCGCCGCCCGGGCCCCCGCCGCCGGGCCCGCACAAAAGGCGTAGGGAGGAGGGCGGTGGCGGCTTCGACCGGCGCCGGCTCGGCCCAGTCGGCGGCGGAGGGCACGAGCAGGACGATAGGAGGTGAGTCGGCGTGGTGTTGCAGGAGTTTAGCTTGCTGTATGTATGTATGTATGTATGGTTGAGAGGAGCAGATCGGAGCTTGCTAGGCTAGGTGCTCTGCTTGTTGCTGTCAGTGGGAACTGTAAGGTGCTTACTGTACATCGCTGTTTTTTTGGCTTGGTCTAGCTGCGTAGATTAGATATTGTGACCTACAGTGTGCAATACTTCAGTCTGAGGTTCGGTTCATCACATTAAGGATGATCTCTGAGCGTTCTTAGTTCCTCTGTTTAGCTTCTGAATACTTTTAACACCGTCAATGACCTGACCTTCCTGCAGTGACTGTGCTCACTATTCGACCTAATGTGCCATTGATAATCTGTGCCTCCAATGTCTTATGATGTTCTTTTTTTTTAATCTCAAGCTAGCATATCTGTTGATGATGTGTTGCAACTGTAATAGCTTTTCGCAGTTTTCTCTGTCTGGGTTTGTTGAACCTATTTGAGAACTTCGTATGGGGATGAGCAGGGTGATAAAGTGTGTGTCGGAATCAGGAGTTTAGCTTAGAGCTGATACGAGCATTGCTTATCAGAAATTGCTATTTTAGATAGGTGTAGCTATGGTGATTAGAGAGGTTGTGTCTTGCGGTGTGCGGCACTGCAAATGAGATTTCATCACATTAAGGATATCCGAACTATCCTAGTTCTTCTGTTTAGCCTCCTGAATCCCTTTAACACCATCAATGACCTGAGCTTCCTGCAGTGACTGTGCTTACATGCCATTAATGACTTGTTATATTTAAAGTTTTGTGATGCCCCTTTTCCATGTGAAGCTAGTATGTTTGCTGGTACGTCGCATCTGTGATAGCTTTTCACAGTTTTATATCTGCTTGGGCTTTGTTGTCCCCATCTGGTAACTCCAAGTGGTTTATAGCTGTGATCAGAAAGGAGGTAAAACATGTGATGGTTTTGTTGTCGGATGTTTTTTTATCTATCTATTCTTGCACGTCGATTTGAATGCTGCGGCGGTTTTTGAAGCTGTTGAGATTAGTCTCCTAGGTTGGAAATTGATCATGGTGGCAGTGGCATATGAGGGAGTGGACGGAATGGGGAGTTTATCGTGGTAGTTTAAACAAGAAAAAGAAAAGGCTGTCTAGGTGCTGTCAATTGAAATCAGTTGGTGTGTACTGGAAATTACAGTTTTTGTTTCATTTAGTTATATCGATGAGCGGTCATAGGTTCCAGTGTGACACTGTGACATGAGGTTTCAATGCATGCTATTTGCTGTAATGTAATGGTGGTGTTAAGTGTTAACATGGAATAAAGTAAGATATGAGGCTTGTTTGAATTTTATAAGATTTATAGGGTATTTGGCTATAAGAAAATTGCTTCATTACATTAGGAAAGTGTTCTGTAGCTTTTATACTGAACCCCTGCAGCAATATTATCAAGTCGCCTAGTTGTAAGGGGACCAATCAGACGACTAATAGACCGGTTAGTCTTCCAAATGTCCTTGTAATTGCACTTGTATGAAGGGTGTATATGCTATATAGTATAACTGTATCTGGTTGTATGTGCCATACTGCTATGTAGTATTCACCACCATTAATTGGTCATAATGTTATCACGTCGTTTGACTAATCGCGATTAGTCAGGCTTATCGTTGCCATGGCGATTAGTTATGCACTACGATTAGTTGGGCTGATCGGTGCCATGGCGACTAGGATCGATTAGACGATTTGATAACATTGATTCAAGAATTCAAGTTTCACCATGGTTTCTGAGTCACCTGTGAATTGCTGTGAACTCTGGATCCTAGACTGGTGGGCCAAATTGCTAGCCTAATAATATTCTAAATGCAACATGAAGCTTAGTTTTCCTCCTCCCTGATTGGATGATTATTTGTGTTAAGTCAATGACTAGTCGGACAACTAGAAACCTAGTTGAGCTAATTGGTACCGGTAAGGATGACTTAACATGATCTTCGGATGACTTGATAACACTGCCCTGCAACGACATCAATGGTGGAAGTTTTCCTGCGAATGCTTGCTATTCAACTAAATGTGCTATTAATTACTTGTGTATCTAAACGCTTGTGGCTTTTACATTAAACAAATGTATTTCTTATGCTTTCCTACTGTTGTAGATTTTGGTATCACTTTACTGTTTTCTCTGCATGAGAATGTGCTATTAAATTTGTGTATTCAAAAGCTTGTAGTGTTACTTTTTCTACATTAAGCAAATATATTTTGATGCTTTGAAACTGTTGAAGGTTTTAGTTCTATATATGCATGGGTTTGCTGTTTCAATTTGGGAACTCTAGGCAGTGCTATAACTATGAGCAGAAAAGGAAGGAGATTATGTGACTAATTTTTTAAAACTTAGTCACCCATTTCTTTTTTCTTCCACATATTTTGAGCGTTGTGTCAGTTTTTATAGTGTCTGTGATTTGTTTTCTAGGTATGGAAATGGTCTTGGTGGCGTTGGAGGAAGAGGTGGTGATGGTCGATATACGAATCGTGCACCAGGTATGAATTATTGAATTAGTGAGCCAGGATTGCCATTACTTGCTCCTTGTCAAATTGTCATTTTTGTAAAGATATTATTAGTTGTAAGTTGGACAACAGATTGAAAAGGTAAGTGCCGATCTAGTTCATTTTCCCCGTAATTGATATGTTTCTCTTGATCTTCGAGAGTGTGTCAAGCACACAACATAATATGTACTGTACACATTGGAATGGATCACAATTCGTAGCAAATATTTTTTTTTTCTTAAGTCAATTCTTCGAGTGTGTCAAGCATGCTAAGGGTATTATTGTAATCTCCTGTGTCTAGGTCTATATTCACCTCCTTTCATGAGATTGCTGGACTTGAACAGGCGCGTTCCTGTAGAATACCATGATATCATGCTGTCCTTCACAGCATCATCCCCTCCAATGAATTGAATGTTGTAGTGCGCCCTCAGCTCGACATCGCTACTCATCAACTCCAAGAAGACAATGATGTAGTGCCTAGTGACATCATCATTGCCGTTGGGGTAGAAGCGGATGGACCAATCGAAGCCACCAACAGTGAAGGTGGATGACCTTACGAATTTACCAACATCTGTGCTGCCCTTCTTTTGACTGTAGTCATCTATCTTGAAGATGTGCGTGCCTATATGGGCCTCAATGGTGTGACTTGATGCTGTTCTTCTGGTTATCCTTGACATCCTTGAAGTACCTTCTCCTTCCAAACAATAATACCCTTAACAAAGCACACAGCATAATATGTACTGTACACATTGGAATCGATTCATATGTATGTCTTGTCATTTCAAGCTACTTATGTTTTAAATTTCTTGGTACTTGGTAGTGATGTTCCTTTAACTATAATTTTCCATATGTATAGGTTGGTCGGGTTCTGGACGCGGTGGATGGAATGAGGGACCTGGGAACAGTTGTAGGTACATATATAAATCTGAATTGGCTTTGTGTACTCTTTTTTACTTTCTGAGGAGCAACTCTTGTCAAGATTGTCATGGTTTTCACTATGATACTTTTCTCGAACATGCAAGACAGCAAGAGAGCTGCATTTCATTGCATTGTAGAAGGAATAATAGGTTTCCACCAAAAATAGAAAGAAGAGAAGAAGAAAAACACACTAAGAAAAAAAATGTAAGCAATCTGCTGCTGCCCCTTTCTTCTGTTTTGCTGCAGCCGTGGACTTGGCAATCGGTCAGCTCTGCTGACTACTGCTGAAGTACGGCAATAGGCCACTACTTCATGTACTAATTAGTACAAGTAGATGTATGGCAATTGGCAACAGGCCACTTGTTGTAGTGGCTATTCTCAGCCATGTAGGGAGCAGTTGGGGCTGATATCAGCCATACTCTTGTGTACCTTATAGCTGGTTCAAGAGTTGTATATATACTCTAGACATGGAAACGAAAATTTCAGTTCAGAGCAGCAAATATTCAGAGTTTCAGACTGTGCAGTGCTGTGCTCGTGTGCTCTCTGTTCTCACCCCTTCTACCTCTAGCTGTGGTGTGTGTGTTGGTTAGCTGATTGATCACCTGTGCAAGGGATTTCTGGTCCAACAAAACACATGCCAAAACGCACACAAATCAAAAGCAGCATTAGAGTTTCAGCTTTGATAACACTTGGCATCCAATACATCTATGCACAAAGAGAATTTTTGATATTTAACCCTCAATACGCACACCTCCCTACATTTGACATCCAATTCACAAGCCTTTGGAAATAATATAATCCTGGAGATGCGAACTCCTTTTATTTGAGGGATTTTTCTGGTTTTCTCTCATTTCCTATTTTCAATATATTCTCCTCTCAACTCAGACCAGGAAAAGACTCAAATGACCCCCACCTAACACAGAGAATGATTGAGGCGGATGCTCGGCCTAACGCGAGTCGTGTGGACGCCCCCGAGACCATCGCCACCCACTCGCCGCCGCCCACTCCAGAACCAGCCCCCCTGCTTGCCACCGGCCACCTGACGTCCCCACTTGGCGCCGCCCCTCGCCTGCCGTCAGCCACCCGACGCCGCCCTCCCCAATCCCTAGATGTCGGGCTCTGTGGCCCAAGCTCGGGATCCTAGAGGGGATCCTGGAGACCGCGTACTGGGTGCAGCGAGGGGGCGAGGGCGTGCCGTCTTCTCTGGGCGAGGGCACGGTCATGCTGGAGAACATGGGTTTTTTTGTCTCTGTGGCTAGTTTGCTTCGTGCTCCCGGCGCCGCTGTCCGACTCAACTCCGGCTCCGGCATCCTCCTGGGGGGAGGTCCTCCCCATTGCCGTCTGCTTGGCGCGTGGCCACAACGTGCGCGCCTGTGTTCCATAGCCTCTTCGTCTACTCCAAGCAAACGGAGGCGTCCTCAGTCTTGACACGGATGCACATCCTGCAGTTGTGGGTCTGGGAGCGCTTCGCTGAGCTTCGCCCAGCGATGCTGATAGCAAGCGTCCCCTGACAACGGTGACGTGCCTAGGGCTTCTCGGTGGCACGATGTCCACAAGGCGCTGGACCCGGGGTTCGCTCATGTGGTGTTCACGGCACCAAAAGAATTCGAGTGGAGGCCCTATGGGAGTAGCTACTGTGTGCGGCCATGGCGTCCACGATGGCGATGCTGCAGGAGCTAGGGTAATGTTGTCCTTTGCATGGAGCATGGCGTCTGGTGTCCGGCGGTGGAGTGGGACGAGCACGCAGTCCTTGCTGTCCGCGGTGTCCTCTTGATGAATCAACACGACCGCGCCGAAGGCATATGGGCAAGGCACTTTCTTCGTCATCACCAACACCAGTCAATGGAGTTGGCGGCAGCCACACGCACAGGAGCAACGCCTTGAGCACGATGCGTTTTTGTCTCTGTGGCTAGTTAGCTTCGTGCTCCTAGCAGCTCCGTACGACTCGACTCCGGCCATAGCGTGCGCGCCTGCGTTCCACCGCCACTTCATCTACGCTAAAAGAACGGAAGCGCCCTTGGGCTGGGAGCGTTTCCTTGAGCTTTGCCCAGCATTAGCGATGGTAGGCTTCTCGGACTCCGCTGACGTGGTTAGGGCTTCCCGGTGGCACGACGTCCACAACGCATTGGACCTGGGGTTCGCTCATGCGGTGTACACGGCACCGAAAGGATTCGAGTGGAGGCCCTTTGGGTGTAGCTATTGGGTGTGCAGACATGGTGTTCACGATGGCGATGCAGCAGCAGCTAGGGCACTCTTGTCCTTTGCACGACGTCTGGTGGCCGACGGCGAGAGTGGGACGAGCGCGCACTCCATGCTGTACGTGGTGTCCTCTTGATGGTTCAGCGTGACCGCACTGTAGGCGTATGGGTAGAACACTTTCTTCGTCAGCACCAACACCAGCCAATGGAGGCGGCGGCAGCCACACGTGGCCGTGGCGCGCAGGAGCAGCGCCTTGAGCACGGTGTGTTTTTATCTCTGTGGCTAGTTCGCTTCGCGCTCCCAATGGCGCTGTCCGACTCGACTCTGGCTCCGACATTCTCCCGTGGAAGGGCCTCCCCAATGTCGTTTGCCTGGCTTGCGGGCGCAGTGTCGCGCCCGTGTTCCACCGCCGCTTCGTCTTTGCCAAGCGAATGGAGGCGCCCTCGGTCTCGGCACCATAGCCAGAACTGCTATGAGTGAAGATTACACTTGATTCAGTCAACGACGCTGGGAGGGCCTTCCCTGTAGGCTATCGGCTGCCGGCACTTCTTTGTACTGGTCGTCGTCCCTGTGGTTGAGGCTGAGCTCGTACTGTGGCGGCAGGAACATGTTGAAGCGACGCTTTAGACCTGGGTGCCCACGGAGCAGGACCTTCATGCGGTCCACGATGCCTCTCACGCCGATGCATGATCTCGCTCCATGAAACATGGCAGCTTGTGCGCCATGTTGGCACTACTGCTCGCTAGTTGCCTATGTTGATCTCAAGAACACAAATCACAACAATATGATCACATTGGCTATCATAGAACACATGAACGCGCAAGAGAAAGCAGTGTGTGCACAGAACTTTTTTCGTATGTGCAAAACACTTTCTTCGTATGTGCACAACGCCTTGAGCACGATGCTTTTGTCTCTGTGACTAGTTTGCTTTGTGCTCCTGGTGGTGCTGTCCGCCTCGACTCCGGCTCCGACATCCTCCCGGGCGAGGTCCTCTCCATTGCCGTACGCCTGATGCCCACATTCCACCGCTGCTTCGTCTATGCCAAGTCAACGGAGGCGCCCTCGGTCTCGGCACCATAGCCAGACCTGCTATGAGCGAAGACAACACTTGATTCAATCAACGACGCTGGGAGGGCCTTCCATGTAGGCTATCATTTCACGCGGCACTTCTTTGTCTTTGGTTGTCGCCCACGAGGTGAGCTCAGATCATGACAGCAGGAACATGTTGAAACAACGCTTGAGATCTAGGTGCCCACGGAGCAAGACCTTAATGTGGTCCATGATGCCTCTCACGTTGATGTTGCAATCAATCCGTAAACGATAGTTCATCATGTTTTGTTGCTTGATGCTATACAGCTCATACAACTGACATCACATCTATTATGTGATCCACATGGCTTAGGTAAGCGACACATCGATCCACCTAATCCTCAGCGCACCATCTCCTTTTTTCCCACGCTTTTCAAAACAAATCTTGGTTCATCAATAATTAATCTAGAGTTGTGCATATAGATGAAATTTCTTCCACCATCAAAAGGTTGAAGGCCAAAAGTTTAAGAACCAAGAGCAAAGCCATTCTCCTATTCCCACGCAGCAAAAAATGGGTGGAAGTCTAACTGCCCCACCAGCTCCCTTGGAGTCCACACCCTCTATTTATATATAAGAGGACCATGATCAGCCCGATGCATCATCTCGCTCCATGAAACATGGCAGCTTGTGCCCCATGTTGGCACTAGGCGATGCAGCAGAGCTGGGGCACTATTGTCCTTTGCACAACGTCTGCTGGCCGTCGGCGGTGTGGGACGAGCGTGCGCACGGCGTATGTGTAGAGCACTTTCTTCGTCAGCACCAACACAAGCTATCGGAGGCGGCGGCAGCCACACGCGGCTGTAGCGAGTAGGCGTAGCGCCTTGAGCACGGTGCATTTTTGTCTCTGTGGCTAGTTCACTTCGTGCTCCCAACGGCGCTGTCCGGCTCGACTCCGGCTTCGACATCCTCCCAGGGGAGGACCTTCCCATTGCTGCGTTCGCTTCGTCTATGCTAAGCGAATGGAGGTGCCCTCGGTCTCGGCGCCGATGCACATCCTACAGCTGTGGGTCTCGGAGCGCTTCCCTGAGCTTCGCCTAGTGATGGCGATGGCAAGTGTCCCGGACTCCATTGACGACGGTGACGTAACTAGGGCTTCCCGGTGGCACGACGTCCACAAGGCGATGGACCCTGGGTTCGCTCATGCGGTGTTCACAGCACCGAAGGTATTCGAGTGGAGGCCCTACGGGAATAACATCTGGGTGTGCGACCATGACGTCCATGATGACGATGTAGCTCGAGCCGAGGCATTGTTGTCCTTTGCACAACGTCTGGTGGCCGGCGGCGGTGTGGGACGAGCGCGCACACGGCGTATGTGCAGGCAATTTCTTCATCAGCACCAACAAAAGCCAATGGAGACGGCGGCAGCCACACGCGGCCGTGGCGAGCAGGGCGCCTTGAGCACGGTGGGTTTTTTCTCTGTGGCTAGTTCACTTCGTGCTCCCAACGGTGCTGCCCGACTCGACTCCGGCCCCGACATCCTCCCATGGGAGCCTATTGTCGTCTGCCTGGCACGCGGCCACAACGTACGCGTCCGTGTTCCATTGCCGCTTCGTCTTTGCCAAGCGAACGGAGGCACACTCGGTCACGGCACCATAGCCAGACCTTATATGAGCGAAGATTACACTTGATTCATTCAATCATGCTGGGCGGGCCTTCCATGTGGGCTATCGGCTGCTGGCACTTCTTCGTGCTGGTTGTCGTCCCTGAGGCTGAGCTCGTACTGCGGCGGCAGGAACATATTGAAGCGACGCTTCAGATCTGGTGAGCAGGGCCTTCATGCGGTCGACGATGCCTCTCACGCCGATGCTACAATCAATCCACAAACAACACATCAGCCCGATGCATGATCTCGCTCCATGAAACATGGCAGCTTGTGCGCCATGTTGGCACTACTGCTCGCTAGTTGCCTATGCTGATCTCAGGAACACAAATCACAACAATATGATCACAGTGGCTATCCTAGAACACATGAACGCGCAAGAGAAAGCAGTGTGTGCACAGAACTTTTTTCGTATGTGCAAAACACTTTCTTCGTATGTGCACAACGCCTTGAGCACGATGCTTTTGTCTCTGTGGCTAGTTTGCTTCGTGCTTCTGGTGGCGCTGTCCGCCTCGACTCCGGCTCCGACATCCTCTCGGGCAAGGTCCTCTCCATTGCCGCACGCCTGGTGCCCACATTCCACCGCTGCTTCGTCTATGCCAAGTCAACGGAGGCGCCCTCAGTCTCGGCACCATAGCCAGACCTGCTATGAGCGAAGACAACACTTGATTCAATCAACGACGCTGGGAGGGCCTTCCCTGTAGGCTATCGGCTGCCGGCACTTCTTTGTACTAGTCGTCGTCCTTGAGGCTGAGGCTGAGCTCGTACTGCGGCGGTAGGAACATGTTGAAGCGACGCTTTAGACCTGGGTGCCCACAGAGCAGGACCTTCATGCGGTCCACGATGCCTCTCACGCCGATGCTACAATTAATCCACAAACAACACATCAGCCCGATGCATGATCTCGCTCCATGAAACATGGCAGCTTGTGCCCCATGATGGCACTACTGCTCGCTAGTTGCCTATGTTGATCTCAGGAACACAAATCACAACAATATGATCATAGTGGCTATCCTAGAACACATGAACGCTCAAGAGAAAGCAGTGTGTGCACAACACTTTTTTCGTATGTGCACAACGCTTTGAGCACGATGCTTTTGTCTCTGTGACTAGTTTGCTTTGTGGTCCCGGCGGCGCTGTCCGACTGGACTCCGGCTCCGACATCCTCCCAGGGGAGGTCCTCCCCATTGCCGTACGCCTGGTGCCCGCGTTCCACCGCCGCTTCGTCTATGCCAAGCGAACGGAGGCGCCCTCGGTCTCGGCACCATAGCCAGACCTGCTATGAGCGAATACAACACTTGATTCAGTCAACGACGCTGGGAGGGCCTTCCCTGTAGGCTATCGGTTGCCGGCACTTCTTTGTGCTGGTTGTCGTCCCTAAGGCTGAGCTCGTACTGCGACGACAGGAACATGTTGAAGCGACGCTTGAGATCTGGGTGCCCACAGAGCAGGACCTTAATGTGGTCCACGATGCCTCTCACGACAGGAACACCCAGTTCGCTTCGTGCTCCCGCCGGCGCTGTCCGACTCGACTTTGGCTCCGACATCCTCACAGCGGAGGTACTCCGCATTGCCGTCCTCCCGGCGCTCGGCCGCCCGCGTTCCACTGCCACTTCGTCTATGCCAAGCGAACGGAGGCACCCTCGATCTCGTCACAAATGCACATCCTCCAATTGTTGTTCTGGGAGCGCTTCCCTGAGCTTCGCCCAGCGATGGCGATGGCAAGCGCCTCTGAGTCCGCTAATGACGGTGGCGTGCCTAGGGCTTCCCGGTGGCACGACGTCCATAAGGTGCTGGACCCGGGGTTTGCTCATGCGGTGTTCATGGCATCGAAAGAATTCGAGTGGAGGCCCTACGGGAGTAGCTACTGGGTGTGCGGCCATGGCATCCACGATGGCGATGCAGCAGGAGCTAGGGCACTGCTGTCCTTTGCAAGGCGTCTAGTGGCCGGCGGCCGAGTGGGCGGCATCAGGTGGGTGGCGGTCTCGCAGGCGTCCGCAGAGTTGCGCGACACGCGTAAGGTGGAGCTTCTGCCTCAATCCTTCTTCTTTGTTAGGTGCGTGGGCATTTGAGTCTTTTCATGTGGACTGAGTAAAGATGATAATATATTGAAAATAGGAAATGAGAGAAATCCCTCGAATCAAAAGAGTTCCCGTGCCTAGGGTTAAATTTCCAAAGGCTTGCGAATTGGATGTCAAATGTAGAGGGGTGTGCGTATTGAGGGTTAAATATCAAAATTTCTCATGCACAAAAGATCAGCCTCCATATGCGGCATCCACTGCTGCTTCAACTTCTGATGTCACACCCTCGAAAACACATTATTTCCGGTGCTTCCTGATAGTCCAAGCTCCCAGAATGATGATGAAGTTGAGTCCCTTCTGGTGTTGCTTGTCTGCTGCTGCTGCTGCAGCATGCTGCCATCACTGCACAAATATATCATCAATCATTCATTCAATCTGTGTTGGTGTGACGCGCTGCAAACCAACCCAAATAGTAATGAGGGGTGAGCATGTAATGCTTTCAAGTGGCAATTTTGGCTGTAACACGTGTACATGGGATTGTCCTGTGTATTGTGGGAAAAAGGATACAAGACATACATGGGGTTGTCCTGTGTAATGTGAAAAAAAAAATCTAGATCACTTAGGAGAAACTAAGCGATTTTATTAAGAGGAAAATGGGGACCCAATTGGAGCCAAATAGGACTTGAACCTGTGTGGGGTGAACACTCGCTCCTCCCATTTATCGCAATAAATACTAGTATAATAGACTCTTTACGGACTAAGCGATCTGCAGAGTTTAAAAGGCGAATAGGGGTCCAGGCGAGTGCTGGGTCCGCCTGGACGCCTAGGTGACAAGGCGCCACTGTTTCCTAAGGTGAGCTGGGTACGCCTGTACGCCTAGGCGACGCCTTTGAAACACTGGCGATCTGCACTAAACAATTGAAGTGATCATATCCTTCCCATCTGATATAGATATACTGAAGAAAAGCAGTGGCCGTCGCAGACAATCTCATGTGAACACTACAAAATCATCTTTTCCCAACCTCATCACAACACTTTGAATCAACCTTCTAGAATTGCGTATTAGTTTCCTTCCATCTCTTTAACCATGGGGAAGATATACCAAGTTTAAAAGCATAGTTTGGTCATATTGGTTAGTTTTATTTAAAGTAGAAATAGAAGGAAAAACATTAATAGAGGGATCTAATTGACATTTTTACCTTATTTTTATTTGCTACTATTACTTTTGTTTCTTTTTGTTATATAAATACGGTAAACAACCAGAGTGATCAATACTGATGCTCTACAGGGAAGGACTGATGTCATACAAGCAGTTCATTCAGGAACTTGAAGATGACGTTTCACCAGTTGAAGCTCAAAGTAGGTGTGTGTGCTAGACCTCCCCTTTTTTTGTACTGTAAATTTTTGGCAGGCATATATTTCTACTGCAAACAAATTTTCTCCCTTTTAATCAAAAGAATCATTTCTGCTGTGTGTGCTGCACTTTTTGTATGACTGATGTGAAATGCACATTTCTGCTGTATGTGGTACACTTTTTCTATGGCTGATGTGAAATGCAATTTGACGTTTTAGTTCATCCTATTTATTTATAGATATGAGGAGTACAAGTCAGAGTACATCACAACTCAGAAGAAAGCATACTTTGACCTCCATAAGGATGAAGATTGGTAATGGTTCTTTATATTACAACAATGTGATATATCATCTTATCTTCTTCAATAACTTTTAAATTTGCCTCTCTTCCTTGTAGGTTAAGAAATAAGTACCATCCTACAAACCTTGAAAATGTCATTGAAAGGTTTACTACTTTCTTAGTCTATTTCTGCCATCTTCATGATGTTCTGGCATTTTTGCAATGCTTTTTCTTTATGCCATCTTAGCTATAACTATCGTCTATTCAAACAGAAGGAATGAACTGGCAAGAACTACTGCAAATAATTTCTTCCTACAATTGCAAAGTGGAAATCTAGACACGTGAGATGCTCTCTCTCTCTCTCTCACACACACACACACACACACACACACACACTCACTCTCTCACACACACACACACACACACACACACAACATATGCACGCACAATGACTCTCTCTCTCTCTCTCTCACACAGCTCACACAATAACACGTGCGCCCACACATGCATGCCCACATGCAGTCATTAAGAGAGTGTATTAATTATTATACTTTTTTGTACTGTACAGAGGTCCAGGTTTGACGGGTTCGGCAGTGAACAAATCAGGAAATAATAGCAGTAAAAATCTAGATGCTGTGGAAGGGGATGGTAAAAAGGGGAAACTTGGAAAGGGTCCTGATGATTCATATTGTGCTGCTCCCAAGGCTCACCCAGTTAGTTCTGAGGTTCGTCGAATTCGAATTGACATTGAGCAAGCTCAAGCTCTCATTTGTAAACTTGATTCTGAGAAGGGCATTGAAAACAACGTTCTCTCAAGTAGTGACCATGAAAAATCAGACAGGGATAAGTCACATGGTTCGATGGGGCCAATTGTTATAATACGAGGATCATCTACTGTGAAGGGTCTTGAGGGTGCTGAGTTGATGGACACCCTTGTTACTTATTTATGGCGTATCCATGGTGTGGATTATTATGGTATGTCTGAGACAAATGAACCTAAAGGCCTAAGGCATGTGAAAGCTGATGCGAGGACATATAATGGGGCTAGCTCAAATGGCGCCGAATGGGAGAATAAACTTGATTCATTCTGGCAAGACAGAATTCAAGATCAGGATCAATTAGAAATGTTGAAAGCAAAGGAGAAGATTGATGGAGCTGCTACTGAAGTCTTGGATCCATATGTGAGGAAAATAAGGGATGAGAAGTATGGTTGGAAATATGGATGTGGAGCCAAGGGCTGCACAAAACTTTTCCATGCCGCTGAGTTTGTCCAGAAGCATCTTAAATTGAAGCATGCAGACTTGGTGTTTGATCTAACTTCAAAAGCGAGAGAGGATATTTACTTTGAGAACTATATGAAGTATGTTTCTGCAATCCCATTCTTTTAATTATTAAGCTAGCTAGGTTTAAAAATTGCAAGATGATTATGAGAAATTTTATCTCAAATGCAGTGACCCAAAGGCGCCTGGTGGTACACCTATCATGCAACAACCTGCTCCAGTAAGCCTCATCACTAAGTTTGTACTGGCTTGCAAATTGGTGGCATTATTGTCTAACTGTTTGTACTGATCAATGTTCAGAGGGGAAAAGGCAGACAAAGGCCACCAATAGAGAGTCGGCTGAGGGATGAGCGTGGTAATCATAGGTTGGACAGGAATGTTGATTCACCAACACATGATGGGTCTGGTGAAAATGCCAACGATCCTATTTATGATTCGTTTGGTGATCCAATTATGCATGGTGCCTTCCCTCCAGATATTCCTGCTCCCCCGGTTCTAATGCCTGTGCCTGGTGCTGGGTAAGCCTGGAACTTCTGCTGGCTGATTTTGAAATTTGAAAGATCAATGATGTACTCATTCAGTTCATCTCCATGCAGTCCGCTCGGACCGTTTATTCCTGCACCACCGGAAGTTGCCATGCATATGTTGAGGGATCAGGGTGCGCCACCTCCTTTTGAGCCAACTGGAGGTCCACATCCTAGGAAAGCAGGGAGGGGTGTTGGTCCCCCAATGCGTGGTCCATCCCCAATCTTTACTGCTCCTCCGCCTCATCAGATGCATGACCCTCGTAGGATACGAAGGTTAGTATTTATTTATATCTCAAGTCTCTTTGCAGTTTGCACTGTGTTTCTCAGAAAGTCATCACTCTATAAGTAAAAACAATTCATTTCCAACATTCTGGAGACGAGGTCCTTAACAGTAAGACATGGCATGCATAACTGATTATTTGTTGACTACTTAACTTTGGTATCATTGTACTTTACATTTGACTTGATTTGTACAATGGGGCATATTTCTCGTCAGTCTGAGTACCAAATTTAAACAATTGACTGTAGAATTTAAGCTGATAGGCTAATTGGAACTCCTGCTTGCTGCCAGTGGATTATTCATAATTTGTGCACCCTGAAAAATGTCCTAGCTGAAGAATGGTCTGATTATGGAACTCTATCTGCAGTCCAAGTCGTTCTCAACCATGTTTTAGTACTTCTACAACCAGATTATGGTCGCCTGGAATATGGCTAGTTTACAATGTATGCTTGACTAGGATATACGGAGTACGTCTTTCCAGATACTAGTGATGCAAATTTTGTGCTTTGAATAACCAGCCTTATGCAATGGATTTGGATACCTGTTGATGTGAACTATCAATAGATATTTCCAAAACGTATTCCCAATGCATAATCATTTGGTGTTTTTGGTACAACCTTTCACCAGTTTTGACCTTACCGTGCTTGCAGCTACCAAGACCTCGATGCTCCTGAGGACGAAGTGACTGTCATGGACTACCGAAGCTTGTAGACTTCCTCCACTTCATGTGCCTCCAGATACTTGTAGGTTAACATTATAGCGCGAAAACAAAACACCTTGCTCTCTCTAGAATCACCGCGGAGGAACCCCAGCAGGTATTTGTGTCTCGACTCCTGAGCTGTGAGCTTCTCAGTGTTTGTAAAATGAAACACAGGAAGTACATTACAACCCCTCACCATTAAACATGGTGTTACCTCAGTTTGTGCAATGTGAAAGATTTTCTTCTATGTTCCTTCTCCTTGGAGACAATGTCCTAGATGGCTGGATGCAAGTAATTTTTCCTTGCTACCTAGGAGTAATTTTTTTTGTCAGCCCTGCCCTGATGTATGTACCTTGCTAAATAGGGTCCGTTCACCGGTGCACATGCAAATGGCAAGTGGGTCGGCATGTGGTGTCGTCCGGCGTGTGCTCAGTTTATATTATTTGTGCCTGGGGCTGTTTCTAGAAATTCTTCCCCGTGATCCGTGGGAGCTGGCAAGCATGTTGGTCCAGCTCGTGGAGGGAAACTGTTTGGAAGCTCCAATCGACCAGTCCCTGACCTGGAGCGCTGGACGGCAGACCCAGATCCGGTCCAGTCTGTCTGTATCTGCTGACCCAATCTGGACAACACACTGCCGAGTCAGCACTGCTGACTGCGATCGCAGGGTTTCGCGCGCGAAAACCCTGAGAAGGATCGACTCGCCGAAACGGGCGTGCCGCGCCACGCTTCCTTGCTGGCTGGCTGGCTGGCTGGCAGCGGCGGTCAGCCGGCGGTGGTCGCTGTCGGCCACCTGCCACCACCACCGTAGCCGGAGCTCCCGCTCTCGTGCCCGGCGTGCAAGCAAAGCCGTGACGCGTGAGGTGGACTGCCCGAAAGGGAGACGGGCGAGTACTATGATTGGGTGGCAGGGCGCTGTAGGAGCGGGGCAGGAGCATGTGTCATGTGTGTGACCGACGAGCCCGGGTCTGCGGCAAAGTGAGAGGCACGCAACGTGGACTGGACCGGGGCGGGATCCTGGACGGATCACAAATTGGATCCAATAATGTGCCCCATGGTATGACCGTATGCTGCTGCTGCTGCTTCCTCAGCATTCCTTGTGTCGACTGGCCGATCGTATCGTATTGATATGTGGCATATCGGCATATGTGGTTGTTGCCGGTGCATGCAAATTCCTTTTTTTTTTTCATCGCGACTTGCGAGAGATGAATCCTACTACCAAGACATGACAGTGACATGTCTAGTTCGCATCGATCGAGTTGTACGCTCATGCTCCAGTATTATTATCCTTTTTCGGTCCCGTCTTAATCCATCAAGCTTCGTTATTAGCTACTAAAAATTAGTTGGGGATCCAAACGCACTAAAGCTAAATAGATCAGCTAACCGTTAGCTGTACACCTAATTAGAAACTACCTCATTAGATATTACCAATTTAGTTAATACTCCATTCGTTTCAAATTATAAGATGTTTTGGTTTTTCAGACACATCATTTTGCTATGATTTGCTATGTATATATACGCCATATATTAGATATAGTAAAAATAGGGTACTTGAAGTTCAATTTCAACCTTCAACTATGAAACCGGTCAAGAAACATCCTCAACTATCAAAAAATGGACATAAATTATTTTTTTGTCCTCAAATGAAAATGTTTTTTTGAGCATTTCATCACCACAAAATTGTTTGTCAATGATGAGACTCAAATTTCATCTTCATATGATTCGATGAAGATATTTTTATATAAATTGTTTCATCGAGATGAGATATACAACTTTATAGTTTTGAGAGCATTTTTCATGAGGATGAAGATGCTCAAAAAAATAATATAAAACATAAGACCATATTTTGTCATCGGATAGATCAATAAAAATAGAAAACCCTTCAATATCGATGTCGGATGAAGATAAATAACCAATATGATGTTTCAAAAAATAATTTAGTTTGAAAAACGGAAGAGCCAATGACCAAATTTGTCCCGGTTTTGATAGTTAGAAAGTTGAAAATCGAACTTTTTGTAAAGTGTACTTTACCCTAAAAAATATATCTAGAAAAAACCAATACGTTTTATAGTTTGGAACGGGAGAGTAGATTATAGAAAGACACTTTTGCCCTTACATCTACCTCTACCATGTGCTCTCTCAACAACATATATTAAAAAGAAAGGGTATTATAGATATTAGTATCCATCTTTCAACCAAATGGATCTAGCTAAGTTAGCATGTTAATTTTAGTGATGAACCAGTAGCTAGCTAGATAACTACTAGCTACCAATGGATCGAAGGCTCCGATTAGATTAATAGAGCTAATAGTTAGTGCTAATAATTAGCTCATTTGGATCAAATAGATCTAGGTAAATAGTTTAGCTAATTATTATTTGAATGCCCGATTAACAACTATCTTACTATGTAGTTAACTATTAACATCAATGGATCCAAACAAGCCTAAACGTCAACTTATTATACAAGTAGCACTAAATAAAAAAAAGTCATTTCCCCACGGACAGTGTAGCAATCACTTCTACCTGACCTTTTTATTTAATTTGTTTTCCGTTTCCATTTGAAACCTGTCAGCTAAACCCGCCGCGCCAAGCTTAATTAACCGCAGCGTCCGATCCGATCGTTACTTCCCACTGACTGGTGGGCCACCTCCACGTCTGTACGTCACGCGGGGACGAGCTCCCCATTCCTGGCCATGCGCGGGCCCATGTGGCAGCGTGATGCGCCGCAAGAAGCTTCCAGGAAGCTTCATGGCCGCAACCGCGTCGAGAACAAGTCCCGATTCCCGACCGCAAAAGCGGGCCAAGGAAGAAGAGAACAAAACGAAACCCGAAGTTTTTTTCTTTCTTTCTTTCTTCCCTGGATATTCAGAGGGAGTCAGGGTCTCAGGGTGAGGGAGGAAGGGGGCGGAGCCGCGAGGCAGCTGGCTGTGTGTGTGTGAGAGCAACGCCGAGGTGAGCCGCGACTGGGTTCCCGCCGCCCCCACCTGGCGTTCCCGGCGATCTCGTGGTGACGTCTGTGTGGCGCGCAGGGGTGGGTTGCGCTCGCCGGTCTCTCGGTGTCGTCTCTCCTGTGAAGGTGCCCCTGGCCGCCGCCGCCGCTGCCGCTGCTGTTGCCGGGGTGGTCTGATCGGGCATGGCGCAGGGGAGTTCGCCGCCGCCGGAGATCCGCTCGCCGGACGACCGGACCGCGGCGGAGGACGCCGAGGCTGAGGCTGAGGCTGAGGTGGAGGAGGAGGTCTTCGACGACGCCTTCGATATACCCCACAAGAACGCGCCGCATGACCGGCTGCGCCGGTGGAGAGTACGCGATCGTCTCCCTCCTCTGACTCTGTTTCCTTCGGTTTGGATCTTCGGTTGGCCGGTTGTGTCGGGGATCTGGGTTGCGTTGTCCGTGTGGTTTCCCTTCGATGTGGAAATTATTAGTGCGCATGCCGTACTCTGATTGTTAAGTTTGTGTGTGCTAGGAGAATAAAATAAGTAGATATCCAATGTACGCATGATCGTGACTGGAGTGTGGAGTGTGGTTGTGGAGGTGCCATTTCGATTTTCGAGGCTCGAAGCGTGGGCATTTTACGATTCTCTGTGCCGCGTGGAGAAAAGAGGAATTGCGAATGTGTGATGGGCATACTTCCCATTGAAGAACATGTTTTTTTACATTTGACTGAAGAATTGTACTCCAGTGAAATGTTCCGATGCTTTGCTGATTCTGATTCGGGGGTTTCAGAAGCCTCCTACTCCTCCTAATGACATGCGCATTGTACTTCTTTTCTTTCTACATTCCTACAAAGGCATTGTGGATTGTGGTCTGTTTGCTGACAAACACAGTACCTGTTCCTCCTGCTACTGTGTGCATATTCATGTAGCCACAGAGTTCTCCAAAATCAGCAATTGAAAGTAAAATATTGATATCAGGGGTTCGGCACGCATATATCCAATCATTGATGCTCTTATGCAGACAAGGATAATTTCTGTAGCTTGGCTGGACTATCCTGTTGATAGATATGCTGGGGAGATTATTAAAAGAAGCAAACATCAATTTTATGACAACGAGATACTAGTTGTTCCACTTATTATTACTTATTAATAGTTCTAAGTTACTTATGTGAGATTTGTCATGGTAAAGCTGAAGTGGGTGAAGTGGCCTTTGGTATACAGAAGTTTGCTGTGTATAGTGGATGGACACAAGCTTCTAGTATTGAGTTCTGACAAATATGGTTATTCTCTTCATTTCAGCAAGCTGCTCTTGTCCTTAATGCTTCACGACGTTTTAGATATACTCTAGATCTTAAAAAGGAGGAAGAGAAAGAGATTATAAGAAGGAAGATCCGGTCCCATGCGCAAGTTATACGGGTATTGTGTCATTTTCTTACTGAGATATTGTATTCTTTTTTTTGGACCATTTCATTTTTTTGTATTCTGAATTTGTATTCTCCAGGCAGCATTTCTTTTCAAAGAAGCTGGCCAAATAGATATCAGAGGTATGACTGCTACTTCATATTGTTATTTTAACCTCTATTTTAGTGTCCATTTTTACAGAAACATGTTTACTATTATGCCATCAGTTATCATTCCATCCTTGTAAAGGCTAGTGATAAAAAAGGCAATGAATTATGTTTTCATTGTTCCTTTGTAGATAATATAGCAGTTTTCCTTGTAGCAATGTGCCTGAGAGCGCAGTTCTATATAATAATATAAACAATAATGATGTGGTAATGCACTTGGATTACAACAACAGTCATAATAATTTGTTTCACTAGTTTACCCTTTCACTATGTTTCCTTTTTAAAATCATTTTGTTCTTTAAGTTGTACATTATTATGTTAAAGTTCATCTGATTCGTCTATAAAATCCAGGCTGCCACTTTTACCATTAATTAGCTAGCTGTATAGTATATTTCCTGATGTTATATCTGCTTGGAAGTTTACTGCTGCGCTGCCAAGTTATACTTGTGATTAATTCTTATGTTTTTCTTTATGCTTGTTTTGCATACCATTTATTTATATTCTTGTGTTATCTTTAATGTCCTTGCATGAAGCAGAAGCTTATACTGGTATAAATGTTGCAACGGCCTCTCGCAGTTTTCCAATTGAACTGGAAAAGCTTAACACATTAAACAGGGACCATGACAATGTTCTTCTTCAAGAAATTGGAGGAGTAAGATAATGCTGACCTTTATTATCACTTCTTTTGGTCAACCTCTTCATGTTAAACTTTGTTCGTCACTAATTATGTCCATCTGAGCAGGTTAGGGGACTATCAGATTTGTTGAAGAGTAATTTAGAGAAGGGAGTTAGTCCAAATGAGGATGAATTGTTACAAAGGAGGAATGTCTATGGATCAAATACATATCCACGCAAGAAGAGGAAAAACATACTGGTATTTTATAAGTACATATATGATCATATATATTTTCAAGCATTGCAAATAATCACCTCCAGTTACAACCTCCTACTATTAACACTGTGGTTCCAATTTCCTAGTGTTACACATATTTCCCTTTTCTTTTCCTTTTGTTTTGTTCAGCCTTTTGTCCGACTTATGTCTTTATGTTTCTCTGCTCAAAATTTCTGCTACTTTGATTGAAATCATGTCTCCCTTTTGCCACTGGAGGGAATTTTGGACCACATTTCAATGAGATAGCTCACTGGCAGAAAGTGAGAAAAATTGGAAAGAGATTAAATTTCAAAAGCAACGAAAATGTGAAATAAATCCTTAAATTAGTGAAGACATTTTTTGAAGGGCAGGCCTGGTGCAAGCGGTAGAGTCTTACCGCCTGTGACCGGAAGGTCCCGGTTCGAGTCGCGGTCTCCTCGCATTGCACAAGCGAGGGTAAGGCTTGCCACTGACACTCTTTCCCAGACCCCGCACAGAGCGGGAGCTCTCTGCACTGGGTACGCCCTTTAGTGAAGACATTTTTTAATAGTAAAATCAAACTAGACGTTGGTCCCATCATAATTTTCTATATCACTACGTGAATCTTGTTGCTTCAAATTTTTACAATTTCAAAATTTAACTCTATTATGTTTGATTCACAGCGTTTTGTATTTGAAGCATGCCAAGATTTAACTCTTGTCATTCTGATGGTAGCTGCTGCTATATCACTGACATTGGGTATGACCACAGAGGTATTGTGTTTGTGCTTTTTTATCACTCTCTTATGTTGTTTGAACTAAAAGTCCTGTTGTCCTTTATTATGCATATTACCTTAGCTTTTCTTTTCTTTACCATTATTCATTCAGGGTGTTGATGAAGGATGGTATGATGGTGGAAGTATCTTTTTGGCCGTTTTCCTTGTGATACTTGTTACTGGTAATGGGTTTGGATTGCAAGTAAACTTGTTTTCAGTAGCAATGTTCTATTTCTAATATTTATCATCATCATATCTCCAGCGACAAGTGATTATAGACAATCTCTACAGTTTCGACATCTGAATGAGGAGAAACAGAACATACAAGTGGAGGTGAGTGTGGCCACGCCACGTGTGAACTCCCATTCATTGGCTATATTTCTGATTTGCTATCTCTATTGGTTAGGTTGTTAGAGGTGGTAAAAGATTTGGAACTTCAATCTTTGACCTTGTTGTTGGTGATGTAGTTCCTCTCAAAATTGGTGATCAAGTAAGATGGTATATTAATTTATCAACTGCTATTTTCATTTTTTGTGTAGAATCATCTGCTTATCATTTTTTCGCCTCCAGGTTCCTGCTGATGGTGTCCTGATATCTGGCCATTCTCTTGCAATAGATGAATCAAGTATGACTGGAGAGTCAAAAGTTGTAAGTCTATCAGAAAAAGAGCCAGTTGCTGTTCCCAGATCTGCGTTTATTGGATTTTCATTATTGGGTGTTATTTTAGGTCCACAAGGATCAAAAGGCACCATTCTTGATGTCTGGTTGCAAAGTTGCAGATGGCTATGGTTCTATGTTGGTGAGTCCAGCAATCTCAAGCATTTTGACAACATCTAGAACTGAGAACCCTTGTTTTCCATGTCACTGTGCTCCATAGGATTTCCTTATTATCATTTTTAATATTTTCTTTTTCATGGCTAAACTAACTATAACTTCTTATACACTTTGCTTATCAATTTAAGGTAACAGGGGTGGGTACAAATACTGAATGGGGTCAGTTGATGGCTAACCTTTCAGAAGATAATGGCGAAGAAACACCGTTACAGGTTATTCTCTGTAAGGATAGTGCAAATTCTTGAATGGACAAATACTGAAGGCTCTCTTTGGTTTATGCTTTCACCCTTTTTAGGTTCGCTTGAATGGTGTAGCAACTTTTATTGGTTTGGTAGGCTTGTCTGTAGCTGGTGCAGTACTTGTTGTGCTTTGGATAAGGTATTTTATTTTTACTAAATATTGCTACTAACAAAAATGTACCACTCTCTCTCTCCCTCTCTGACTGATTTTGAAACCAACTCCAGATATTTTACTGGACATACCGAGAACCCTGATGGGACAACTCAATTTGTTGCTGGAACTACTGGTGTGAAGCAAGGATTTATGGGGGCAATTAGAATTTTGACTATTGCTGTATGTAATCCTAATGTTGTTAATATAAAATTATAAAACTAGTACCATGAACAGATTTTAAATGGTTCTTCTCATGTTTATCCACAGGTGACCATTTTAGTTGTTGCTGTGCCCGAGGGACTCCCATTGGCAGTAACACTAACGTATGAATTCTTATGTAAATTCCATTAACTTTTCAGGTAAATGACTGTCTGCAATTTTTTTCAGGCTTGCATATTCCATGAAAAAGATGATGCGAGACAAAGCTCTGGTAAATAAAAAATATGTTTATGCATATATTTATATAAAAAAAAAAAGATACGACAGGAGGAAGAATATGATTTGATTTTGTTTCATTTAAATAGGTGAGGCGGCTCTCGTCATGTGAAACAATGGGATCAGCTACTACAATATGCAGTGATAAGACAGGAACCCTTACATTGAATAAGGTTTGTTGAGTCATTTACCAGCCCATTTGCCATTTAAATTCTTGATATATTCCCAAGATGTTGTTCTCACATAATGCTTGTTCAGGACTTTACGTCAAACGAAGTCTCGGACAAGCATATGCTCAATTTTATCTAGTACAATGAGCATATGCTCTGATATTGTGATTTAGTTGTGACATTTTATAATTGCTGGCATCACAATTTGTTTGTAACCCATATGAATTGAGCCTGCAGATGACGGTCGTGGAAGCATATTTTGCTGGAACAAAGTTGGATCCATGCGATGATGTTAGCCAGATGTCAGACAGTGCAGCATCACTTATTATTGAAGGAATTGCACAGAACACAACAGGAACTGTATTTTTGCCAGAGGTACAGAAAAGTCTCCTTTTTATTCCAGATACCATTTCTGGACACTGATGAGCTTGAATCCATTCCGTAGTTCATAATATCATGGATTCAGTGTCCAGAATGGATCAACTAGTCCAACTAAAGAAAAATTGAATTGAGTCTCAAGCACAATCTTTTAATAGTGTGAAACTTGGAGGGATCAAGCTCATCAGCAGTTTAAGATCTGAAACAATCAGGTTATGCCCTTAACATGCAGGACACCTGAACTGGGCATTCTCCTGGAGGCAATCTAAGGGGACTATTAAAAATCATCCATAGCACTCGTATTATCAATCGACAACTTGCCATGTTCGACAAATTTTCATCCATTCTTTTTCTTTATACAGGATGGGGGAGCAGCTGAACTTACAGGTTCACCTACTGAAAAGGCCATTCTTTCTTGGGGCCTTAAGGTATTTTTAGTTTATTACTTTTGATTTACTCTTCAGTATTTCTACAAGTCCTTTTTCTGTTGACTTGGCTTTCCACCTTGCACAGATAGGGATGGATTTCCACGACGTAAGGACAAAATCTTCAGTAATTCATGTTTTTCCATTTAACTCGGAGAAGAAACGTGGCGCTGTTGCAGTACAGGTACTACATTGTGTTATGTGTATGAAACCTTAATGCGACTAATGTGTGTCTGAGAATCTTTTTTAATCTTTTTGACTCATCTTCTTTTCTACAGCTACCATGTAACACTTGTAGTTGTAGTGGGGACATAAAATAATGTAACATGCGTGCCTGAATTATCCTATTGCTTTTTACATTTTTTTTTGCAAAATTTTCTGTATTTGAAATAACATTTAATTCATGATTAATTGAATTTCTGTTGGGAGTTGATGTCATCAAAGTTTTAACACTTATAAACAACATGTCATATCTGTCAGCGGGCTGATACTGTTTTCTGATTGGCTTGCTGTTGCATTGGAACAAAAACCTGCCAAATGATTGCCACTTACCATCTTGCTACTAGTTGTAATTTGTAAACAACTTCTGGATGTGTTTCAAGCATTTTTTTTTAAACAAACCAAGCAGAAGAGCTGCTGATTATATTAAAAAGAGGAAAAAAAACAGACTGAGCAGTACAACAAAGCAACGACAACGACTATGACAACCCTAGAGGGGCCAGATTTCGAGCATAATTTGACTTGTGTTATACTTCTAAATTAGCCAGTTTTGGGACACCCCTCTGCTTAAAGGGATTACTCCTTACTAGTCAATTGCCTCCATGGTTTTAATCGTTAGATTCCATTGCCATTTTCTTATCATTCTTGAATCAGGATAGATTTCCATAATCTTGTCTTTCGATATGCAAAGATTTTGTAACTGTTTGTCCAGTGACTTCCTTATCCTGATGAAAATATCTATGCCATACTGTTTCTTATCCCAATATGGCTAGTGTTACCTTGGTGTCTGATTCCTGGAATTTTAGTCAGATGATGGTGTTCACATCCACTGGAAAGGTGCAGCTGAAATAGTGTTATCATCTTGCAAAAGCTGGCTTTCTGTCGACGGCTCGGTTCAGTCAATGAGTGCTGAGAAGGTAATACCATCTCCTAGCTTTTTGTTGGTTAATCTGAGACTCACTTGACTTTTTAAAATGTTTGTCTCTGTGAGACCCACTTGGACTTTTAATATTTGCAGCACGATGAATTCAAGAAATCAATTGAAGACATGGCAACGAATTCATTACGCTGTGTTGCTTTTGCATACTGTTCCTTTGACATTGAAATGATCCCAGAGGAAGACATAGCAAGCTGGAAGTTGCCTGAGGATGACCTGACCCTGCTTGGAATCATAGGAATAAAGGTTGATTACTGTTATTGTGGACTCGTTTTTTGGTTCGACTGTGTCTGTGCTTGACGCATACTAGGGAGTCAAGTTATTTGTTCAAACACTTGAGCGTAGGACATTACTGTGTATTCTGTTCTCTACTTTCTTCTGGGAGCTTGCATCATAATACCTCCTGTTTAGTCTCCCATGCATCTGCTTTTAAGAAAAATTGATAATAGCATTCAACAACAACTTGTTTCTCCTATAGGACCCCTGTCGCCCAGGTGTAAGGGATGCTGTACGACTGTGCACCACTGCCGGTGTTAAGGTTTGTGTTGCTTATATTGCTTTTATTCTTCCTGCATCACATTTCGTGCATTCTAAGGATGACCTAGGATTTTTTATTGTTTGAATATTCAGAGAGCAAATAAAATGGTAGTAACAGGAACTAATATTAACAGGAGGAAATGATCCGAGTCTAATTGTATACTGAATATAGAAGTTCAAAAAACAGCAACAGAAAAAAGGATTACAATATGTTGTCTACCATGTTTCAGCATGAAGAAATTGCTAGCCTTTGTCCTATGGCAAATAACTTCCTAAAACCCCTTGTTCATTCTTATGGTAGCTTACACATTATTAAGCACCATGTAATTGCCCACTAACCAAATACTGTCCACTAGATTATGTACATCTTTCCGGTCATTGATGTATCTTGTTCTGTTACTATGTGGATAGCCTTTCTATTTTTTTTTCTTTCTTTCAAGAATGCATGCATTTTCTTTGGAAATGGATTTTGTTTTATTCTATGATTGATAACCATAGTGTCTGTAATTCAGGTGCGCATGGTTACAGGAGATAATATTGAAACAGCTAAAGCTATAGCTCTGGAGTGTGGAATACTAGATGCAAATAGTGTTATTTCAGAGCCAGTTGTAATTGAAGGAAAAGTGTTCCGTGAGATGTCTGAAAGTGCAAGAGGGGATGCTGCTGACAAGATAATTGTAACTCTCTCACTATGTCTCACAAGTTGTTTGGTGCTTTCTTTCACTTTGCCAATTCTGTCATTCTAGCCTTTGTCCTCTGGAGCATTTTTTAAGTCCTTTCATTCTTTTTGGTGCCATAGAGCTAATTAACTTGTTTCAGGTGATGGGGAGGTCCTCACCAAATGATAAACTTTTGCTTGTCCAAGCTTTAAAAAGAAAAGGCCATGTTGTAGCTGTTACTGGTGATGGCACAAATGATGCCCCTGCATTGCACGAGGTGACATGTTCATCTCAAAACATTGATGAACCATTGCATATTGCACTTTTTTTTTACATTGATGAGCTTACCGTTTCTAATTGCTGCCTTGCCTCTTGATTTGCTGTCTAGGCCGATATAGGTCTTTCAATGGGCATTTCAGGGACAGAAGTCGCTAAAGAAAGCTCTGACATTATAATCTTGGATGATGACTTCACATCAGTTGTCAAGGTTTGTTTGGTAGAATTATACAAGAGGACTTAACTGTGCTCGGCACTGATTTTCTTTCCTTGTAAAAAATAATTCCACTTGTTCAGAGTTCACACATTCAAGTCCTGAACATAGCAAACATGCATGAATCCTTGGTCGAATGTGCATTTCTAAGCTATAATTCTTGTTGCAGAAGTGTATCTGGTGAGATTTAGGTTAGAATTAATGGATTTGTACATCCTCTTTCAGGTTGTTCGTTGGGGACGATCTGTCTACGCTAATATTCAGAAATTCATTCAGTTCCAGCTCACCGTCAATGTTGCTGCACTCGTGATTAATGTGGTTGCTGCTGTGTCCTCTGGTGACGTGCCCCTAAATGCTGTTGAGGTTGGGACAATTTCCTCTTTTTTTGTGCAATTTACTCGACTGCTGCCATTGCGTCTACATTGAAGCAGTTAGTTGTCATGTTGCATGAAACGTCTGCTGAATTTTAATATTATGTGTAAGTATATATATGGAATTTTAAATCTTTCTGGTAAATATGTTCAAAAAAAAATCATTCTGGTAAACAATTTGTATAGAACTTGAGACATATAGCTTAACAACGACGCAGCATTTTACCTGAGACACATGTATTTCCAGGCTGTTTCTCATCAGTATCATATACTTTGTTCTTTCACTTTTCAGCTTCTCTGGGTGAACCTTATCATGGATACACTTGGAGCTCTTGCATTGGCAACCGAGCCTCCAACAGACAACCTTATGAAGAGAAATCCTGTTGGTCGAAGGCATGTAAAATGATCTAAAATTCCTTGTTGACAACATTGTGTCCAATATGTATACACTATGCTTTCTGAATTTTGAAATATTTTACCCATACTTTTCTACTGCAGGGAACCTCTTGTTACAAATATTATGTGGAGAAACTTGTTTGTTCAGGTTAGTATTCCTTCATTATAAAACTGGATTCTGTTTAAAATTCTTTCTTATTCTTGTATGTTTGAAATTTTGCACAGGCCCTTTACCAAGTAGCAATTCTACTGATTTTTGATTTTGCTGGAGTAAGGATTCTGCGTCTGCAGAATGAAAGCCGATCTGACGCTGAGAAGATAACGAATACCTTCATCTTTAATACATTTGTATTTTGCCAGGTGGAATATTCGTTCTTCAATAATTCAAGAAACATAACAGAACATTACTGCAGACAAGTCTTGCTTCACCTTTTAGATAAATGCATACTAACATTGGATTATTCTCAAAAGAAAAGAATCAATGTTGAGTTGACTATAAATTGGTATTAGTTTTCCACAAAAGGTACTAGTGTGTTCTCTAGCCTTGATACTACATGGATATTTTTCTTCAAGGACTTGTTATAAGCTATTCACTGCTTTACCATAGTCAAGTTATAAGCTATCCATTGCTTTACCATAGTCAAGTTTCAGGTATGGCATAAGTTATATGAATTTTCTGCAACTTACTAGTTTTATTTGCATTTTGGTTTGTTCCAGTAATTTAATGTACTCTTTGTACTGGTCTCCGTACCAACCCTTCTTAATGAAATACACAAACGTTGTTAAAAAAAAAAAATAATGTGGCCAGCTTTAACCTCCTAGAATCTAGGCCCTTGACTGACCATATATTAGCATGTTGTCTTGCTTGTACGAAGTTGAACCATAGCGGAGTGATTTGCCATGAAAATAATCCAATGTTAGTATGCATGCATTTGTTAGTACGCATTAACTCCATGTACATCTGGAACAAAGGTTTGAATTAACTTGGATGTGTTTTTTATGCCAGATCTTCAACGAGTTCAATGCGCGAAAACCCGAGGAAAAGAATGTCTTCAAAGGGGTAACAAAGAATCACCTATTCATGGGAATAATCGGTATAACAACAGCATTTCAGGTAACAGACAATATAGATTCTCTACATTGGTATCACCTCTGTCCATGGTTATAAAGTTGCTCTTGTCTTTGGCAGATACTGATAATTCAGTTCCTGGGGAAGTTCTTCAAAATAGTGAGGCTTGATTGGAGACTATGGTTGGTTTCAGTTGCTATTGGCCTTGTGAGGTATGCACTTCAAAATTTGGCAACCTCTTATGGTTTCATAAACCTTTTCAATCCATTGAATGCGTCACATCCTTTATGATGCACGAGCCCGCATACTATCCTGACTGATCACATTGTGTATATGAACCCTGACAAGTATGATGTCAAAGTCACTGATTCTTCCATAGAACCCCTTTTTTGTAAAATTGAATGTGAAGCCCTGTTTCAATGTCAATTTCGGTGTGAATGCTGACCTCTTTCCTTCATTTGATTTTTCCAGTTGGCCCCTGGCATATCTGGGTAAATTTATTCCTGTGCCCGTAAGACCTTTCCAGGACTATTTTAAGCCTCGCTGTTGTCGGAAACCGTCGCGCCGAGGTGAGTCTCCATGAAGTTATTAGCTTTGTTCCTTCTCTGCATTGTTTTTTTTTTAATCCAAAAACTCAGAAATTAATCGGTAATGCAGACGAGGAGGAAGGTGGACAGACCTAAGGTACAACGAGTGGTCAGTGTAAATAGGCATGTGATAAGAAATGGAGATAAATTGCACTGGTTGATTCCATGGTAGCAGCATCTTGGGGATGTACGTATAAGATGGCAGCTAGTCGGCCTCGTAGTTTTCTTCTAGGAGAAGCAGTGGGAAAAAAAAAGTAATACAGAAGCCAAACTCGTGTAGTAGCCTACCCTACACTACCCAGCTGGTGATCTGCTAAGCGGCAGCGAAAGGGCAAGCAAGCACAATCCATGCCAAACTCGTGTACTAGCTGCGTTCCTCGTCAGCATAACCTGAATGAAGCAGCGCCAGCCTAGCTTGCGATGTAGCAGCATTTTTTTTCCTGGCGATTTGATTTGACTGTAAATTTGTAAATGTTTATCGACTACGAGTGTTCTTATTTTCCATACACCTGTTCCACGGAACACTTGTTCTATACGAAAATAAAGTCAAAGAACAGCTAAAACAATCTAATCCTTTTTTCCTTGAATCACAGTATAGACGCAGAGCTTTATACATGCATGCATATTCACCTCTATAAATGTATATAAACACCCTACCTTTATGACCATCTTCGAATGATTGGGAGTTTGAGACGGCTGATAAATCTAGGTATTGATGAAATCATTACATGTGTCTTGAGGTATTGATGAAATCATTACATGTGTCTTGCTGTCAATGGATACGCACTAAAAGAATAATGCCATGCCTTGTTGTCGATAGCTACATCGTTTACCACAGAACAATGATGTAAATCCTCGAATAAATCTAATAAAATTAGAGCTAAATCTTGAAATAAATTCAATAAAATTCGAGCACTCGTGTCAAGTGGAAAACTTAAACCCGAATGAACAATTTCCACCATAAACCCAACCAGGTGAGATATGCTCAGTTCGCTCAAACAAGCTAATGTATACCGCCTACTGCGCCCTTTAGTGCACGGATAGGCTTCTTCGCAGTCTTGCCATGATAAGTCGCCCTGCCATGACAAACCTTGAAGGAAAAAAGGATAGGAATATGCAGGGTTCAAATCATGTACACCATGGAGTGGTGGAGAGGACACGGATGGAAATCGACCATCAATGGTGAAGCTAGAGCTAAACAGAGGGATGCAAAGTAGAGTTCAACATTTTGATGAAATTCTAGTTGGAATTCGTGAATTTTGGTTTCTTCTGTAGCCTGTAGGTGAACGAAAAGTATATTTTTGTTTAGAAATACCACCTTTTATGCTATGTTGTATATCATGAGTCCAATAATACGAGTTTGCACCTTAGTAAAAAAAAACTGTCCAACCCTACATACTACGAGGTCTAGAGATTGAATGTCACGGTTGACTATATCGACCGATCCCTCTTCGTGTTGTTGCGGGCTTACTAGCGTCCGGACGTCCGGATGCCCCACGCATGCTGATGTCTCAACCCACCCAACCGCTGCGCTGCCGCTGCACCATATTGTTGTTGCACGCACACGTCCGTCCCCCGTCTGCGTTGCCCCACTCCAGCCCCACACGCGTACCCCGCTCCCGTCCGCCTCCCCCCCACCCCTCGCACGCGCACCTCGGCTGCGCCTGCCACTTCTTCCCCTGAACCCTTCCTCTCTCCGCGTGGGTGGGGCCTGGGAGCCCGGATGAGGACGAGCAGGCCCCATCCATAGGACCCTAGGCGCGTCATGCGCCCCATCTGCCGGCCCCCGGCTCCCCGCTCCTCTTCCCCCAGCGTCTGGGCCGTGCTCCAATGACTCTCTGAACATATTTCTGAAACACGAAACACTTGCAACATGAAACACTTGAATGCAACATAAGTCTGAAGCAGATGAAACATTTAGAACATACACTTGCAACATATGTGTGAAACATATGCAACATCTAGATAAAACACGTGCAACGTGAAAACACTTACTGCAACATAAGAAAGAAATAGCTGAAACATTTGGAACATACTCTTGCAACATATGTGTGAAACATATGCAACATCCAGATCAAAACGCTTGCAACCAACGTTTGAAACAGATAAAACACTTTGAACAAACGCTTGCAACATGCCTCTAAAACACTTGCAACGTATGTAATATTCGGATCTACTTTTGCAACATCCATATGAAACACTTGCAGCATACATCTGAAATACTTGAAACATACGTTTGCAACATGCGTTTTTAGTGGAACATCTCCTTGCTGCATGGAAATGGAGGCTCGTCGGTACATGGAGTTCACTGGTGTAGAGCTCGCCGGTGACGTGGAGCTCGCTGCTCTCAGTGGAGAAGGGCGCGACAGGTCCCGTGGAGAAGGCAGTGACAGGTCCATGTGCTGGAGAATCCCGCGGCGGGCGGGAGGTGCGGTGCACAGGGAGGAAGACAGGCTGTTGTGCTCTGACGCGGAGGAGATGTCAGCCGGCAGAGCGGAGGTGCGATGGAGAGGGAGGCACGGTGGAGAGGGAAGCGCGGTGGAGAGCGTTGTCGCCTAGGTAGTGCGGCGGAGCGCGGTCACATGAGATGTCGCGGCGCGGCGGTGAGGTGAGTTTTTCATTTTTTTCATTTTTTTAAAATGGTTGGGGGCGAGTGCATGAGCAGATAAGATGCGGTTATTGGGCTGCGTCGCAGCCCACCATCAACACTGTCCGGACGGACGGACGTTCTACACCCAGCATTACCATCGTGGTTTTGACCAAGGTCACGGTACATAATAGGCCGAAAAGCGAGTCTCTGGAGCTTGAGCTAGATATAAAGAGGCAGGTGCCGACAGCTTTGTTTCGTCCTTAGCTTTAAAATCACATCAAGCAGAAAAATCGAGTGACAAAGGCACTAGATTGGCGACATTGTGCACAAGCTTACTCATGATCTTGTTGCTAACTACATTTAGAAAGAGGTTTTGTATGGTTTCAGAACTACTAAAAAACAACATATTTTTACTTCATTCCAATTCCTCCTATTGCCATTATCCTCGTTAAACATTAATTCTTTATTTAAAAAAACACACAGAAGTATGTTTTTTTTCAATTGCCAATTTTTTCTTCGAAAACCTACACTACTCACAAGATAACAGTGAAGGAGCTGTTTTTATTTAAAATCCAGGTGAAAGTGTCCCTCCCCTCCTGTAAACTATGGTCTTGTTCTCGCAACAAGATTATGCCATCTATACTAATGCTCCTCTAAAAGAGACCTTAAAAGGTTGTACTACTCTATAATAATAAGAACATTAGACGACACGCGCGGTTGTTTGTTTCCTTTGAACTATGCACAATGTGAGAATTTCTTTTTTTTTCTATACTAGCAAATATGCTCATGCGGTGCAACGGGAAAGAAATAAATGCTTGTACGTGAGAGTTGTGTTTAAAAAAAGGAAAAATCATTTATTTGTGTAAATATAATTTTACAATTTGTTCACTTAATTTATACGTGAGAAGTCTAGGGACAGAGATCGAACATGTTGTTGTCTTCAATTTATTTTGGTTTGGTTCGTACCAGTGTCACAAAGATCCCGATACGAAGGGTACGAGGAACAGGTACATTGATCGAAAATTTTAAGTTTCCGGTTCATGAGCGTATATCTCTTGGGACGATTGATTCGAAGAGTGGAACATGGTCCCTAGATAATTTGGACAATATACCTGGAACGAAGCTATGAAACGAGAACATGATTCTGATATATTTATTTACATAAATATTTATTAGTACTATAATTTTAGAGTGCATGGATTCCTAAAAAATAGATTGCATGGAGAATAATAATGCTAATCGTTTATACATTTGATAAGAAAATACGAATGCATTCTAGCGTTTGGGTTGCTGGTCCATTTGCATTGACTGTCTCATTATTAGGATATGGCTCATCGGAGCCCAGACCCATTTGATTGTCAACTGCAGGCCTATTTCTCTCTTCTCCCATCGACTCTACTCATTCATCCGACGCATAGAGCATAGACTGTCGTACAGGAGAAACCAAAGCGCCGCTGCCCGCCGCCAGCACCTGGCCCCGGCCCTAGCGCCGTGCCGCCACCCCAGCACCACGGCGGCGTTAAAACCAGTGCCGCGCATCTACCAAGCTTCAGATGAACCTGCGCCCAATGCCGCACCGCGAATCTCTGCAACTCCACTGCGTCGCGATTGCCATCTGCATCCTCTCAGTGATCCAGTGGGCTTCGGAACGTCATCCCAACTCGCGTCCCCATCATCAATCCGTCGATGTGCCGCATCGGGAGACCTGTCCATGGCGAATTCGATTTGGAAAAAATCTTTGGCGGCTGAACTTGATCCGTTTTCATGTCTAACTCATTGCCAAACCATCATCCGCATAGCTAGTTAGGAGAGGTCGGGAAAACGAAAAAATCCATGAAAAGAAAAAGGACTCGCACATGAAAACGAAAAACGTAAACCGTAACCGAGTCGATGACGAAAGATTTTGCGCAAGACATTTTACCTCTTTATTATTAGGTATAGTTATTATATAGGTATAGATATAGATATAGATATAGATATAGATATAAATATAGATATAGTGGCTGATTGCCTAGCCAAATCGAACCTTGGTATTTCGAATCAGATTGATAGCTTTTTGAATGGCTGGATGCCATCCTCTAATTAAACCTTCCTGATAAGGTTCGGAGTACATCTTAAATAGCTATAGGGGGAGCATGTAGCTCGGCTATGTCAAGACGTCAAGTCAAGCCATTCAAATTCACGTAGTACGTACTACCGAGAGTTGCCATATATGCATGCATGGAGCATGATGCGCCAAATAAATAAGATTCGTAATTAGACCGTTGCCGTTACTTTGTCGAACACAAGATACGACGATACATGCATACATATATTTGGAATGTTCTACATTTTTACTTAGGTGGCAAAATATAATATAACAAATAAATACACAACAAAATCATGTGTATGTAAATTAAAACCCAATGCGACGTGATCCAAAAGGTGAAGTGGTTGATTTGGTTTGAAAAGGCTACGGCCAGTCGGCCAGCCAGCATAGCTCGCTCAGAGCCGGCCATCGAGGTCGAGGAACTCGTCGGGGTCCATCAACGGCGCCTCCTGCTGCTCCTCGTCGTCCGCGTGCACGTTGACGCGATGTCGTCTGCCGCTGTTCACCGTCACCGTAGTAGCAGCTGCAGCAGCAGCGAGAGGCGGCTGGGGCGGCAGTAGCGGAGACGGCGGCGCCGTGCCGTGCACGTGCATGGCGAGCTGCGCCCGCGTGGTGGCGAGCTGGTGCTGCACGTCGCGGATCTCCTGCTGCAGGCGGTGGATGATCCCCGTGCAGCCGTACACCGGGTCCTGCACCCGCCAGTGCGCCTCCTTCGCCATCGTGTCCGCCGCCCGGCCTCGCTCCTGCACCGGCAGGCTCTGCGCGCGAGCAAGCACAGAAATGGCGCCGCACATGCACACGTACGTTCGTCAACGCACTCTAATTTGCATGCCATATATAATAAAGAGCTAAAAAAAAGCCTCAGTGATGCATGCATGAGCTGATGAACATGATGCACTGCACTAGTGCTGCACGTACGCACCTGGAGCACTCGGGTGACGTTGCTGGTGCCGAAGACGGCGTGCACGTCGGCGTACCTCCGCGGCTGCGACGCCGGGAAGTAGGGCGCGAGGACGCAGTTGGGGGCGCACCTCCGCCGGAGGTACTTGCACGCCGCGCACCGCCTCGCCGCAGTCTCACTGCTGCCGCCGCTGTCCGGATGATGATGGTCCATTTCCATACAGCCGCCGCCTGCCGCGGACATGAGAATCTAGTGGAGATCACGAAGGATCTAGGCGTGAGGTGTTGCTGAGATCTCCGTGGATCCTCGAAAGATTTGGGGACGGATACGGCGGCGTTCCGGCTATATATGCTCGCCGGCCAGGAATGGTAAGGTCAACGGCTACGTGCATGCGTGGGCTTCCAATTGAGGAGGAGGAGCGCCGTCGGCGAGCCGGCCCCGGAATGGAAACATGAACGGCCGTGTCTCTGCGCTGCGCGTGCCGATGCGGCAGGGGACAGGGGAGGGCCCAAAGTGGACCCTCCCTTGTACAAATACCATAAAATATTTTGATTTTAAGAGGTAGTTTCAGATTCCATATTAAAGTGTTACAAGGTATAGCTTTAGATCTTAATAAGGTTCTGTACATGGATTTTACTGAAAAGAATCCATTCTGATGTAGTCCCCACACAAAACGATCCCTCTGGTTTGTTAATTGTACATCTGCCACCATGGCAACCACCTCATGCCATGCTTGTAGATTAACACCTACCACGGATCTCCTGAAAGCCACATTTAACGGTGTCATAGACAACACCGTTCTCACATACGCCCCTTTTCTCCTAACAATATTATATAGTGCAGGAAAGAGCGATTTTAAAGGACGTGGTCTTATCCACGCATCCTCCCAAAATCACACTTGAGAGCCATCACCTAGTTCGAACTTGCCTAACGAGAGGAACTCCCCCTATACCTTCATGAGGCCAGCCCAAAATTGAGAATCCCCAGGTATATGTTGAACCTGTGTTAGGGTCTTGTTTTTTAGATATTTATTCCTAAGTAATTGTTGCCAAACCCCATCTCCATTCAGCAACTTAAAAATCGTTTGCTTAGGAGACATTTATTTTGAACATCTAAATTTAAGACACCCAACCCCTCTTGATCTTTCGGTGTACAAACTACCTCCTATTTAGTCAATCTGTATTTTTTCTTGTGTCCATCGCTCTGCCAACAAAACCGGGATCTGAAATAGTCTAACTTCTTTAGAACCCCTTTCGGTAATTCAAAAAAGGAAATCATAAACATGGGAAGACTGCTTAAAACAGAGTTAAGCAAGACTAGCCTTCCTCCTACTGACAACATCTTACTTCTCCAACGGTTCAACCTCTTTTGAAAACGTTCTTCAACATGTTTCCGGTCCTTATTCATGAGCTTTTTTATGATGCATAGGAATACCCAGATACCTAAATGGAAACGAGCCCAAATCACACCCGAAAATTTATGTATAATCAAATTGATTCGCTTTGGCTGCTCCGTAGCAAAACAATTCACTCTTATGGAAATTGATCTTGAGCCCCGACAACTGCTCAAAAGCACAAAGCAAGAGCTTCATATTTTTTGCCCTCTCAAGGTCCTTATCCATAAAAATGACAGTATCATCTGCATATTGGAGGACTGAAAGTCCCTCATCTACCAAATGCGGAACAACCCCTCGGATATGATCGGCCTCTTTAGCCCGTGAAAGAAGGATAGCCAGCATATCAACCACTATGTTAAACATAATAGGAGATAACGGGTCCCCTTGTCGCACTCCTTTCCTAGTTTGGAAATAATGACCTATATTATCATTAACCTTTACTGCAACACTTCCTCTAGACATGACCTTCGAAATCCATTCACACCAAGTTGGTGAAAATCCTTTCATTCTGAGGACCTGTTGAATAAAAGGCCACTTTATCTTATCATACACTTTTTCGAAGTCTAACTTTAAAATCACACCATCTTGTCTTTTCCTATGTAATTCATGAATCGTTTCATGCAACATAACAAATATTTGTTTCAACCAAATAAATAGCTTATAAGTTTTTCATAGCACATATGTTAACAGGTTATCTATATCTTATATCGCACAATAGCTTATCCACAACTCACAACACCTTTTCCACATCTCAGGGCTCACAAATCACAACAGCTTTTTCACATCACACAACTCACAACAAATTTTTCATAGTTAAAAGTTGAAGTAAATGGATGCTAAGGGTTTTGAGCTGTGAAAAAACTGTTGTGTGTGTTCTGTGTGAAAAAGTTAGTTTGGTTAAAATAACTATAGAACCTACCCCATCTCTTTCTCCCTTGTAAAACACCACTCTATTTCTATCCATTTGGACAAGTTGAAAGATGAAGCTAAAAATAGGATTTAAGATGATGCGAAATTATACTATGCGAAAGCAGCAATTTCTAGAAAAGCAGCTTCTGACTACCTATTTGATTGGCCTTCTACTTTTTAGTAGCAGAAACACTTTCTAGAGACTAAACAAAATACAACCTTAATCCTACAAGTATTGCAACGCAAGGCAGTGCACACACGTTTTTTTTGAAATAATATTATTTTAATAAATAATTGCATATCTAGATGCTGTTTTTATAAAATTGCAAAACTAGCATCCTATACACCTATCGGCTACTGAGAGGCCGACAAGCCATGCAGCAAGTGAAAAACTCAAAGCAGCCCAACTGAAGACCTATCGGCAACTCAGCAGCCGAAATCTTCAGTCGGCTTGTGAAGAGCCGATAGGCCCCATTTCGCATCATTTATTTATTGTCTGGTGTCGGTACTCCCACCTATGTGTCCGCCACACAGAGAAGGTGAAAGCAAGGTCACGTCTCATGACTAAGCATGTGCCCTCTCTTCCTTCTTAGTTAACTTCTACTCTATTTCTCCTTTTGCGAGATAGTATCGATTAATCTGATACTTTCCATATAACATATGCAGAGCCGGCTCTATATAATGTTTATAAGAAAATCCTAAATACCATGTGGTTTCATAGCTCGTTATAGTTTCCATGCATTTTAATTTGCGTATATCATTGTACGTTTCTTTTATCCAATTGCCAAGCATTGAGTGGTTGCAAATACTTGTGATGGTACAAAAACAAAAAAATTTGATAAAACATAAATACTCCCTCTATCCAAAAAGAATGTAAATCTTTGTTATGAAATATCAACATTTATGTTTTCAAATATATTTCTTATGTATATTTCATGCTTTGTCTAATGATATTTATTATAGAGTAAAGTTCATGGCCGGTCCTCGAACTTGCAGGGGTGTGTCATCCTGGTCCCCGAACTCAGAAAGTGTGTCATTCTGGTCCTTAAACTATGCCTAGGTCTCATTTTCATCTAAATGGGTATGGATTCGTGCCCGCGGGCAGAGATAAGACTTGATTGCTCGAAATAAATAATTAGCGGGGTTAGAAACAAAATCGCCTAGACACATAAATTATATAAATATTTGCAAACATCATGAGGGACAATTTTGAAAATAATCACCATCTTCTTCCTTGCTGCCACGACACGAGCAAGCCACCGCCGTGGCGCACAGGCAGGCGGGTGAGCCACTGCCCCACAGGGGCGCGGGCGAGCCGCCGCCGCTGTGCACAGGCAGGCGGGCAAGCCGCCTCTTCCGCACATAGGCACCACGGCCGTGCAAGCGAGCAGCCGCCGCTGCACAGGGTCGCGGGCGAGCCACTGGCACCCGCGCCAGCAGCAGCCACCGCCACGCATCATGTCGGCGATGGCGAGCATGGTGCCCTCCGGTTCCAGCTGTTGCAGCTGCTCGACGATGCGTCCATACACCGTCTCGTCCTGCTCGACGAATCATAGTTCTAGACGATGGCCGCATCTCTGTGCTCACCTCCGACCTGGGGAGCCACCTTGGCTCCTGGACTGCGCCGATGGCTCGTCGATGTCGGGCGTCTCCTTCTCGGTGGGCGGCGAGACGTTCCGCGCGCTCGTCGGAGTTCAGAGCGCAGCCCTTTGGCGCCGTGGCAGACGCTAGGATGGACTGCATCACGCTGCACGGTGTCCAACCGGTGTGTTCCAAAGCCTGATGCGGTTTATGTACACCAATGACGCGCTAAGGCTGCCTATCAAGGGGTACTTTCAGCTGATGCGAGCTTCCCGTCAGTCATCGATGAGATCAGACATCAGAGCAAGGGTAGTCCAATCGTCATAGACTCTGGCTACTCATGAACAGGCGCGTGGGCAAGCACCGATGCCGTAGGTGTGCGGGCGAGCAACCACACCAAACTGCCGACGAGCCGACCCTTGCCATGAGAAAGGCTATTGATGAGTGATAGAGCTGACATGTAGGTCCAGACTCTGTTTGACAAAAATAAGACCCAAACAGAGTTTTTTTTCTCTCGAATACGCACGAGTGTGCGTATCATTGAATTAGAAGGAAAAGAGTTTCAAATTACAAGAGTGCCGCTCCCGCCGTTAGTGTTTTGTTACAGACTACATTTTGAACCTTACATCCATGACCGGCGTGACGAAGGAGACCGTTAGCCTTGCGCCAATGCACTCGGCCCAGACGCCCCCGCCTGTATCCACCGGTCTGCTTCCGCCTCGATGACTTGCAGCAGCTCAGTGACCGTGGACGTCGATTCCCGGAAGCATCTTTCGTTCCTCTCCCTCCACAGCTGCCAAGAGACGAGGGAAAAGAGAGTGTCCATGTCGGTTTGTCGGTCATCATTGAACAGGGACCTTAGGCTGCGCCACCAGGCTAACGACGTTGCTGAGGCCGCCGGTAGTGGCCGCCGAAGCGCTTGCAGGACATAGAACCATACCTCCCCGGAGAATGGACATGTGGCGATGATGTGATCAATCATTTCCTGTCCCTGGTCACAAAGATAGCACAAACTTCCTTTCTTCGAGGCCGTGTCTGGCCCTCCGGTCACCTGTCCGGTGCCTCCGTTTCACTACAAGCCAAAGGAAGATCTTCACACAAAGGGGTACCCAGGTTTTCTAGATTAACCTGTGGCAGGTCTTCGCAATGGAGCCGGTGTGCATCATTTTGTAGGCTGATTTCACATAGTATTTCCCATCATTTTGTAGGCTGATTTCACACCTCTCTATTTCTATCCATTTGGACAAGTTGAAAGATGAAGCTAAAAATAGGATTTAAGATGATGCGAAAATTATACTATGTGAAAGCAGCAATTTCTAGAAAAGCAGCTTCTGACTACCTATTTAATTGGCCTTCT